AGGTGTTGTTGCCGATGGAAGAAAACGGCCGACAATTTCGGTGCAGGCGGTCAAAGGCGGAACAGACCATCACATCTTGACGGCGCAGCACATTTCGCCCAATGCCACAGGCACCGCTTGAAACAAACACGACTTCTTTGCCTTCGCTGCGAAGAGCAAAAATCTCCTCCGCAATATTCGAAATGCGGCGCACACTGGGGAAGCCACTTTCTGTGACAATCGTGGAAGTCCCAGCCTTGAGAACGATGCGCTTTGCAAACTTGAGATCCTTGCGCGAGGTGATGTGGTCGAGTCGCTTGCGCTCCACTGGAACCGGAACGGTGGCCATCACGTGATGAATTTCCCACTCTTTGCCCCTTTTATTCCTTTTGTTTATACTTCCTCTTATTCTTTTTGGACTGTTTCTTGTTGTTTTTGTTGTTACGGATTCCTTGTTGTGGGCTTTTGTTTTCTTTTGTCACGGCAAGGGTTCGTCCTGGTCTTTTGTTTTGTTTTTGTTTTTTTGCTTTTGTTTTTTGTGTGTGTTTTGTTTTGATTGGTTTTGTTTCACCGTTTTACGGCTTCTTTGGGCACCTCACTGAAGATTGCACGCGGTGTTGGAAGGGGAAAAAAAGTGAGCCCCGCAGAAATACACAGACACAGACAGATAGACAAATATATATATGCACAAAGTTTTTGTTTTTATTTCCTTTTTTTTTACTTCAACATTCGTTCGTGTGTGTGTGTGGCTCCCGTCCCTCGCTGGGATCCCAGCGGCAGGGCGGGCACACACGGCAGAGAGACCCTCACACAACCAATTGTCTCTTGTTTGTGAGGACACGCACCAGTACATGCCTCCCCGGCAGCGCGGCATCCTTCTTGAGGGACGTCGGCTCGTGGCCCTCACGCAGACGCTCCGCGCACACCGCCTCAAAGCGCACAAGTTTCCCATCCAATAAGTTTGCACGCAGGAGCGACTCAAACACATCGCCGGCGCTGCTGCCAGACTTGAACACAAGGCATTCCCTCAGTGATGGCAGCGGCAACTTCATTGAGACGGTGGGAAACACCAAAACGATGGGGCAGCGGAACAACGCCGCAGCCAACACCTCCTGCACGCCAGTTGTGGTGGGGGTGCGTCCAGAACCAAAGAACTGACGCACTTCCGCAAGTGCCATTGACTCCATCGGGCTCATTAGCGAGCCTCTGCCGTCGCCGCTGCTTCCCTTCTCTTGAAAGGAGGAATCCCCAGAGACGTATTCCACAAGGCCGCTCTGCCGCAGCAGATGACACTCCACCTTTGCAGACATCGGCACAAATTTCTCGTGAGGATAACGTCGCTGAAGGTCAGCATGCAACTCCCCGGCCACTGATTGTATATCTGACTTGTTGAGCGCAACAACAATGGGAAACCGCAGACGTACGTACAGCGCCACAAGACGATGAAGTTCAGCTTGCCTCCATACAGGCAATTGGCTCATCAACTCTGCCTCGCTCGTGATGCCCATGTACCGCAGCACCCCATCCACAAAAGAAGGAGGGCTGCGATAGCCCGTAAACATTGTGCGCAATTTTTCCGGTTTCCTCCGGATCCCACCCCACTTCGCGCGGAGGTTGTCATAGATCCAACTGTGAACCTCCGCACGAACCCACGTGATGTCATCACATGTAGAGCCTGTTCCTGGGGGGCACGCGGACCCATCCGCGTTAGTCGCACCCGCCCCATCCACAACGTGCACAAGAACACTCGCATCACACAAGTCGTTGAGGAATTGGTTACCCTTTCCCTTTCCCTTATAAGCCCCCTGCACCAGACCGGCGACGTCCTTGATGATAACGGGGTGTCGACGACACAAAGCCCCACCGACCGGCACATGGCCATACATGGCGTCACAAGGCGATGATGAAGTTGACAAAATGCAGCATGGGCAGAAAACGGCGCCAAAACCAGCACTCACGTTGGGCTCAATTGTTGTAAATGGAAAGGCGGCAACCTTCGCGGCCTTACTCTCACTGTCCGGGTCCGTCACGGCATTGAAGAAGGTGCTCTTTCCCGCCGACGGTTTTCCAATGAGACCAATCGTCAGCTCTAAAACTCCACCACGCAAATTCGGGTGGTAGTTGTCAAAAAAGGCTGCCGACAGTTCGTTGAACGCCCGTTCTGGAGGATTTCCCTCGAGTGTCTGCTGCGCATTTTGTTCGGCATCCACAATACATGCGGACCGATCATCATCGTCGTCCCCATCGGCATCCCACCATGCGTTTATTTCCTGCTGCTGCTGCTGCAGGTTTTGGGCCGCAGAGCCATCCGGAGCAGCGGAGGCACTCGCCTTGGCAGACATGACCGACCGCAGAAACGCCACGTCACTCGCCGCCTGTTCGCCTGCAAACATCATCGCAGGAAGAAGCATGGCGTTTCCAACACCCAAATCGTCCCGAAGGTACGCGAGTGTTTTGGTAATCAGCTGCAACTTCCAGCGCTCAAAGAAAACGTGATGAGCCGCAGGGCCTCCAACCACGTCCAGCTTGGGTAACTCCGCCGGATACCGCCTTGGCAGAGTCATGCAAATTCTAAGGGCCGACAGTGACATGTCTGACGCTTCATCCGACACACCGTCAAGCAGAAGCGGCAAAAAAACCACTGGGGTCTTATTACGTTGCACACACTCCTCACCATACATCGATGTCAACAACCCAATCTCCTCTTCGCATGCTGCATCAAGGGATCCGCTATCATCATCATCACCATTTTCCCTTTCAAGCGTCGCCTCTGTTTTGTCCGTTTCACCCCTTTCCCCTGTATAGACAGTGATGCGCTCAATAAAAGACTTTATGGAAACAAGAACACTCCTCAGTTGCGGGATGCTGTGGGCGTGGGCGTGGAAAAGGAGCTCTGACTGTGGTCGACATGCCTCCGCAAAGGAGCAACTCTCCGCCGGATCGACGATGGCATCCTTCTCCCCAACGATGTGCAAAGAGGGCACGGCACCCAAAAAGCCGGTTCTGTTGATGTCATGTTGCGGCACGTGATAAAGATATGATGCCACAAACTCCGGGAAGACACGGCGTGGGTCCGGTGACGCCGCAATGATAACAGCCTTCACTGGCGGTCCGTATTCCCTCTCTCCGTTCATTTTCTGCAGCATCACGTAGCGAGCCGCAAGAAGTGCGCCTTGAGAAAATCCTAAAAGAAGATCGTACGGGCTGCCTCCTGAAGTCATGCAGCGTCGCACAAAGTCGTCTCCCGCCGCGTAACTGTCCCTTGTGCCGCCGTCTTTTGGTTCGCACCATGAGCGCGTGGCCACCGCGTCACCCGTCACCATCTCACCTGTGAGAACGCATGGGGCATCTACAAACTCAAGCTCGGCAACACCAGAGAGAAACCTGCAAAGTTTGTTCAGCTGGTGCTCAAAAATTTCCCCCGTCTGTCGCTTTCCGTGAAGACACAAGACTCTCACCATCCGGCCTGTGACTAAAGAAGAAACAACAACAAACACACACACACACACACACACACACACAAAAAAAAAAAAAAAGCGACACAACTGCTCCACACAGAAGCAAATTACATTTATAAACGTAATAATTAAATAAACACAACAATAAATGAAAAAAAAAAAAAGAAACAGTCAGTCAGTCATTTATTTTTCATCCCTCTCCTCCCCGCAGATTCCTTCTTGTGGTTTCTTGTTTCCCCGTCTCCATTCCAACAAAAAACGCTTCTTCAGCGTCCAACGATAAATCTTGGTTAAAGCCAGCCCGCAATTCCATACTTCAATAAAAAGGAAACAGAAAAAAATATTCAAACGGACTTGTCATGGGAGGCGTCAGCCATCCAATCCAGCAGCAGTCGCTCCTCCAGCACATCCAAGTAATCCGAAAGAACCGCATCCTCCTCCTTGCTGCCACGGACCAACTGCAGATATTTTGCACGTATTTCCTTGTTTTCCTTTTGCAAGGCCATTAGCATGTCGTGCATGGGGTGGCCAATGAACCCTTTCTTCTTCGCTATCCTTACATGCACATTGCAAGCGTCTCTCTCACGGGACATGGCACCCTCTAAAAGGTGTCCAATCATCGAGGCGCGTTCCATTCGCAACTGCTTCAGCGCCGCACGACGATCAGCCGCGTGTCGAACAAGATCCTTCAGCTCCATTCTCTTCTGTAGAGCCTCACGGAACGCCGGATCAGCCTCCGCGGCCTCGACAAAAAGCTTTTTCTCCAACAACTCCTCTCGTTGCTTTTTCTGTCGTTGATATGTGGCTTTCAGGCGCTTGGAATCTTCTGTGATCTCCCGCCTCCGGTGCCACAAGTCAGCATGCTGTTGTTTAAGGGCAGCAATCTCCGCCTGTAGGGAGTCCAATGACGAAATGGCACGGCTGATGAGGTAGCGCAACTCCACCTCCTCCGCCGTCACGCCTCCCTTCGTTTCCAGCGTGAAGGTGCCTGGCACGACAATAATTCTATCTCCATGTGGATCGCACACATCACCCAGTACGCTCCGACCCCCGTGGATCGAGGAACACGTTTCCTTTGAGGTGGGCACAGCCGCGGCTTCTCTCGCCTCTTCCAGGCTCTTCTCAAGCTGCAATACCTCCCTTAAAAGAAGTGCCTTTTCGCGGCGCACTTTCGTGAGGCAATGCATCTGCGCACTCGCCTCGAGACGCCAGCGCTCCACCTCCCGTTGTGAACGGTCCGCCTCGAGGGTCGCGACGCCAGCAGTGCGGATAAGTTCCTCGTCGGCCTCAATGAATGTTGACTCCACTCCACCAATCGGTGTGAACTGCAGAGAATCATCTGGCGGAAGAGACGCCGGCTCCGCGGGATCCTTTGGAACCGCCCTGCGCATCACTTTCTATCTCTTCCTTCCACCGGTGGTGCGGCCACAACTAAAAGACTGCAAAAAAAAAAAAAAAGCGGCGCCCCGCCCTCCCTTCGCAGCGGTCCGCCCCGGCTGCTGCGCATAGAACAAAAGAGGCAAAAAGAAAAAATATCCAAAAAGTACTGGTTTTGTGCGTGGTAGTTTTTGTTTTTTGTTTGCAGCGGAGTGAAAACAATTTCTCTCCCGCCCTTCGCTGATTGCTACGAAAAGCAGGACACCGTCCTGCACACAGAAAATAAACTTTCTCCTTCAGGTAACCACGTCTCCCCCTTCCCTCTCTCACTCTCTCTCTTTGTGTGTGTGTGCGAGTATTTGGCGGGGGGCAGGGCATCATCATCATCACACGACATTTTCTTTCGGCAAAAGCAAAACAAACCAAAAAGAACGAGAGAAATCGCATCTTTTCTTTGCATAAAATGCGTTGGGACGCAGATGCATGCATCCCCCCGTCAATTATTGAGGGGCACACACCAGCATCGGTACCGCCACCACCACTCCCGCTGCCAATTATCACTCGCACCTACTACAAAAAAAGGGCGAAGAAAGAGGGAGGAAAAGGGTGCCATGCAGTGCCGTCAGCCTCCAAAGCCACGGCTGCAAACACATGCAGGCTCACCCGCCCCTCCCACACAATGAGGCGCAATAACGCAAGTGAGACTACGGGAGAAAGAGAGCAATCCACTCTGGACGCCTCCGCACCACATCCCACTGGTTCTATGAGTCCCGAGTGATCCCGAGCCTACGAGTGAATTCCAGCAGGCTCACATCATCACCCATGCGTGGCACATCATTCAGGATTCTCTCTCTTGAAAAATCATTTCCACCTCCACCATTCGTCCTGTCAGGCTCCGTTCGGGAAAAACACGCCGCCCCACCCTGCTTCGCTGCGTTTAATACACCCACCAAAGGGGCAGGAGTAACATGACAAATGCCGCCCCTATGACGCGTGGTTTTGATCAGCAAATGTTTTCCTAAAGAAAGAGGTGGTGCAGGACGGACGTGGACGCAGAGACCAATACAGCAGCTGAGCCAAATGACGACATTTCTTCTCTCCAGTTTCGGTACGAAGAAGCACTTCGTGACGTCGCGGTGTACATGTGCAGGAGAGACGCCGGAACACCCGGGACCAGTGCGGCTCCGTCTCCGCACCCAACGGATCCCCTTCCAGTAATGGCTGAAAATCAACTTGTAACTCAACAAACACATGGCGCCGCACCCAACTTGAGAGCTCGTACCTCAAGTAACCGACTGCAGAGAAGTGGTAGCCCAAAAAATAATCTGAATCACATGACCGCACAATATCAACAGAGATGCAAAAGACATTTTTCGTGAAGAAAGAAGCCATGTAACGATACACCCGACTTCGTTGTTCTGGCGAGAGTGAGAGCGCAGTGTCCAGAGAGCGCCTAACGCGCGTCCCCGTTAGAGACTTCGAGGCCAATGCCACGGCGTCATAAACAACGGGGCGCACAACCCCTACACGCATGGATCCCATGACGCGCAGTAGAATCTCTGGTCTTCGCGGACTCTCACGCAATTTCCGCGCCAGCTCGTTGGTGGCGCACAGCTCCGCAAAAAGGCGTTCCCGCTCTCCTTCGACGTCCAACAAGCCCTGCACTGCAGAATTCCCAGCGCGCGACTGCATGACCCATGAAAAAACACAAGCGTAATCTCCCACAACCCGAAAATCAAGCAACCTCGCCGCCTGCATAAGAGGTCGCGTCACTGAGAGACAAGCGCTGTGGTGAACATCAATGCCAAAGTACCGAACGGCGAAATTTAAAATCCTAAAAAACCTGTGAGAAGCGGAGGCGGCATCACGATTCATCGACAGTGAGGCAGCAGCTGCGACAGATGGCAAAGATGATCGTGACGGTGGCAACTCTACACCTTCTTGAAAGTGCTGGCCAGTGACAAGCTCGCTCACGCCGAACACAGGAAGTATCAATGCGTTTTGGCTCCACGGCACTCTCACCCATGAGAGCAGCGTACGCTCAAGGAGGTTGTCATCACCAGCAATCAAAACAATGGTGCGCGGTAGGTGACTGGAGCCGAGGGATGACCACGACGCGAGCAACTCTCGTATGGATGCATCATCACCAGGTGAGGAAAACAAATTGTCGCCCGGGCACTCCAGAAACAAACAGGAAAGGCCTTGCGTCGCATTATGCATTGAAACCTCCGCTTCCTCCTTCAAGACACACATGAACTTCCTCCAAAGCAACTCATCCTCCTCATCGTCACTTTCCTCGTGTGCAGGATGCCCAAGATGAGAGGTACTCCCGTCATTAGCATCCTGAGCGTTCGTCTTCGTGCGCTTGTATTTCTTCCAAATTAATTCATCCTCCCCGTCGTCGCTGCTGTTACCACCCTTCTTTCCGCCGTTTCCATCGACATCCCCAGATACAAGTAGCTCATAAGGATCCATGCAGTTCCTTTCACTTGCACTGATCCCTCGCTGAGAATCATCAAAAGGACGCCTCCCGGACGACATACATAGCGTCTCCTTGACGGTACTGAGGTTCGCATCCGCAGCCAAAATTGGCGCGGCCTCACCCGTCACTTTTGCAGCATCCTGGCGCAGCTTTAGTGCAGCAGCAGGCTCCACAAGAACTGTCACCCGGGGAGCTGATGGAGTAGAGGCGGAGGCGGCGGCAATTTCCGACCAAGCATCACGGATTTCATGTGGTAATAAGGAATCCTTCGCATCAAGAATGCCTGTAAAATCCACCCAAAAGATTACCCACAAAGAACTCGGAAAGAGTGACAGTGCGGCATCGATAACCTGCGCAGCACGCCGTTGCACAGCCACACGATCCACAGCATGTCGCCACTCTTTTGCCAGCTGCACGTACACCACAGACAGTGCCCGATCATCGTCTGTTCCCTCCATCTTGACATCTGTGAAAAGAAGCACGGCCCTAAACCCATCGCGTTCCCTTTTTTCTTCTTTCTCCTCCTCCTCCCTGTGTTCGCATGTTGAGGAGCACAGTGGCGCCGAAAAAGAACTCAGGTGCCTCATGAAGTCTGTCCGCAACATGAGAAACTTCAGAACACATCCGCCAAAACAGGCGTCCCCGCCAACCTCTGGGAGCCCCTCGTCACCGCAAAGAGGCCCAACACTAAATACAACCATCACGCCGTGAAAGGCCCTGTTGTTTCCCACCTCCTCTGCGCCACCGCCATCAGGGATCTGCCAAAGCCGCTCCGGGTCAAAGGCCACGTACACTGGTGCACGTCCTTTCGTCGCCACTTCCCAGCCCATGCCGTCAGTCTCCTTGCTGTCCAGCAGACCCATGAGATCGACGGTCAGCGCGCGGCGGTGGGTGCCGGACGTGAAGCCTGGTCGGAGTGAAGGAGAGGAAGCTGCAGAACCGGCGGTGGGCTCCATGCCCTCCCTCTCCAACCCCCTTCCTTTCACCCTCTTCGCACAGATGCCCACATTTGCAGAACAGAAGAAAAAACAAAAAGAAAAAAAGAAGTGCCGTAAGGAAAAAAAAGACACCGACGTAGCGTAAAAAAGAAACATTTGCCCGTGTCGCCCGCAGAAAAATAAATAATAAACAAATAAAAACAAAATCAAAAAAAAAGTGCATCAAAGAAATGGGAAGACGGACAGACAAGAAAGTTAAAAAAATATTCGCCTGGGCTGATGGTCAGATTCTAAAATTATATGTAAATAAGCCAAACAGGACGGGAATGAAGAGTGTAATAGAAAGGCAGTGGCTTCGCCACATCCCCCACGTCTTCCCCGCAGACATGCATTCTGATATACAGTGTGGTGAAATGTTGCACTCTATTCAAATTGGAGGTATTTATTACTTACAAAGTGGCAGATTTCGGGCTCTTTCAGTAACAAGACCCCCGCCGCGAGGTGGGCATGGCAAAAATAAAGAAAATAAAAATAAAAATAGAAATAAAATTCTTCTTGCCGTTATCGTTTCCCTGACTCCTTCCATCGCAGTCTTCCAAAGGATTCATAAGAGAGGAAAGAATTGTAAAGAAATATCTTCGTCCTATCAGGATATATATATTTGTTTCTGCCGGCTTTTCATTGGCTACCACCGAGAAAGTGCCGTTGCGGTCCAAAAAAGACTTCCACTCACATACCATAAGGGCACACAATCAAATAAATAAGAGGGAAAAAAGCACCGTTTTTGTTTTTATTCTTTTTTTTTTGTTGTTGTTGTTGTTGTTGTTTCTTGTTTTTTTCACTTCACTCCTTCTTCTTTTGAGCGGCAAACGTGCCTCAATCATTCCGCTAACATGTCTCTACAACTCCTCTTCCTCCTCCTCCCCCGGCCCTGCAGCGTGCAACTGTCGGAACCATAACTCAGCGTAAAGGCCACATTTTCCCAAAAGTTCCTCGTGAGTGCCACTCTCCGCCAAACCTCCCTTGCCGTCCAAGACAAAAATTTTGTCGGCGTCCTTAACAGTAGTGAGACGGTGTGCAATAAGGATTATGGTGCGCCTTTTCCCACCCCTCTCGCGCAGCTGCTGCATCACACGTATTTCCGTCGCCGAATCTAACGCCGAGGTTGCCTCGTCAGCCAGCAGTATCGGGGGGTCGTCGAGAATAACGCGTGCAATGGCTATACGTTGTTTCTCTCCGCCAGAGAGCTTCAGCCCGCGTTCCCCCACGGGTGTTTCGTACTGCTGGCTCATACTCATGATGCTATCGTGGATGTTCGCCATACGAGCGGCTTCCTCCACTTCTTCGTCCGTCGCGTCTAGACGGCCGTAGCGGATGTTGTACCGCACCGTTTCGTTAAAGAGAACTGTGTCCTGCGGAATCACCCCAATGGCCTTGCGAACGCTACTCAGTTGCAGATCCGTCAGCGGCTGACCGTCGATGAGAATCAGACCGGAGGAAGGGTCATAGAAGCGATAAAGAAGCCGGAAGATGGTGCTCTTTCCGCTGCCCGAGGGGCC